ACTGAGGATGTTACCCAGCACGGTAACGAAACGTCTGCGGAACAACAGAACAGCTCGGCGAGCCAACCAACCTCAACATGGTTTTACTTGTTTAAGCAATTGGATAATGGCAACAGGAGTAAACCATTTAACCATTGACTCACTTCCACCATTCAATGCAACCATTGCTCATCATTAACCTAATTCCACTTAGCCATGTTTGTCCCTTATTCCTCGATACATCTGCTTATCAAAGAGCTATCAGTGTCAAAATTAAAATAAATATTTGATTTTTTTTTCTGGACTACATTTCCCAACTGTAGGTTCTGCAGCCAATGGGAATATTTCTCTTCAGCCTTAAAGACCCATTTATATCTCGGGATGTTGAACAAGTTATCTCTAAACCTTCTAAGTTCCAGGGAATACTACCCAAGTTTGCATAAAAATACAAAAAAAATTACAGATGCTGGAAATCTGAAATATCAGAAAATACTGGAAAAACTGACTAGGTAGAAACAGTTAAATTTGATGAATTGTCATTGACCTGAAATTTGAGTACACTCTCTCCTTCCACGGATGCTGCCTGAATTGTAGCATTTTCAGTATATTATATCCTAATCTGTGCAATTTCACTTAATAAACCTTTGCAGGTCTCTCTCCAAAGTCAATATATCGTTCTTAAATTGTGATGTTGACTGCAGAGCACGTTATTCCAGGTGCATATTACACACTTTGTGTAAATGTGGCTTAAATTCTATGCTTTTATAGTGTGGTCCTCTTGATATGAAGCACAGTACACGGAACCAACTTGTTGAATTTTTTGTTCACATTTGTGACATTTATATTATTAAACTTCAGGGATTCCTAAGTTGTTTTGGACCTTTGCCAATTCTGGCTTTTGATATTTAGAAAGTAGTCTGATCTGTCCTTTTTCAGGACCAAATTGGAGGTCCTTACATTTGTATGTATTAAAATCCATTTGTATAGATATGTTAATTCACTTAATCTATCAATATCACTTACTTGATGTTTCCATCTACATTGTTCACAATGCCATTTATCTCTGTCATCAGCAATCTTGAATGTCTGGCCATCTATCCCATCATTTTAACCATTAAGTACAGTCAACAGTTGAGACTCGAGCGATCTTTGCAGGAATACCACTGGTTGCACTCAGTGTCTGTCTGATATCTGTACTGTTTCCTGCTATTCAACCAAGTTCTGAACCAGGTCCTTTACCAGGTCAATAGTTTGCCTACAATGCAATAAGCTTCAACTTTAGTTAACATCATGTGATGTGAGGTAGGTGATGAGTTAGTGGTTATGAGACTATTAATCCAGAGACTTGGTTAATGTTCTTGGTACCCAGGCAGGAATTTGCATTCAGTAAAAGGAAATCTGGAATTATGGTCATCATTGGACTCTTGACCATTGCCAATTGTCAGGAAAACCCATCTCGTTCACTAATGCCCTTTAGGAAAGGAAATCTGTTAATCATACCCAGTCTAAATGTGACTCCTGACCTACAGCAATGTGGTTGACTCTCAACTGGCAATTGGGTTGGGTCATAAACACTAGCCTGGCCAACGATGTCCACACCCCATGAATGAATAGATAAATCTTCCCAATACCTTATGGGAATCCATAGCAAGAACTTGCATAGACATTACCCTGTCCACTATTTCATTCCATAATTTTCTTTAAATCTGTGCTGAGTTCCTGTGATGAGCTGAAATTTAAGATACTCACTTACGTTATCTTTAGTTATGGACTTAAGCAATTTCCTGAATTGTTTTTACAATTCCATGGTTGCACTTTACAAAATACTTCGTAAAAGTTAAGTGATGTGAAATTTTCAAATATAAAGGATCATTTGAATCTAGAGAAAATTGAGTGTTTTTGGTTGAAGCATCTGATGTCTTCTCACCTGCTACCTTTCCATAGATTTCCATAGAATCCCTAAAGTGTGGAAACAGGCCCTTTGGCCCAACAAGTCCACATCGACCCTCGGAGCATCCCACCCAGACCCATCCCCTATAACCTTCTTAATCTATACATCTTTGAACACTATGGGTAATTTAGCATGGCTAATCCACCTAACCTGCACATCTTTGGACTGTGGGAGGAAACTGGAGCGCCTGAAGGAAACCCACACAAACACAGGGAGAATGTGCAAACTCCACACAGTCACCCATGGGTGGAATCGAACCTGGGCCCCGGCACTGTGAGGCAGTAGTGCTAACCACTGAGCCACTTTAAACCCTGGAATAGAAACCATCTGGTTCGAGGGATTTGGCACCCTGCAATTATCATCTCCATTACTGTTATTTTGCTTATGCCAGTTTTGGTGAGTCTCCAATTCTGATGCAAAATTATTAATCTTGACAAGTTCTCTCCTATTAATGCTGACACAAAGTAATTACTTAATATGTCTGTTATTTTTTAAACTTTAATTTAGCATTTAAGGGGGCACTTATTCCAGGTCACTTTTTCCTGATATTGTTTTTAAAAAAGTTTTGATCTTGATGTGAAGTTCTTTGCTTTTTCCTTGTATTTCTTTTTTTCGTAGCCCTCTGTTTTTCACCTTTACGTTCTTACTGTCTCTCCCAGTCTCCAAGACATGTCTTTTTGGCACTCTTTTGTGCTTTTCCTCTGGTTTTAGTTGTCCTTTACCTACTTAGTTGTAATTGGTTGTTTAATGGGTGGTAGGTGTTCACCCATTTTCTGAGGACTGTCTCTGCTACACGTGGTCAGAACGGGGACTGATGCCCTTGCAGTATTTGCTGGAGTGGTGAGGAGGTTTTGAAGTAAATTGGAAGAGGAATAGGAACCTATGCAAGGAGTCGGAGGAAGAGGAATCAAGGACAAGAACAAAAGACAAAAAGGGCATAAGGCAAGTGATAGGCAGAGGAATCAAACTCTAAATCAAATAAGGCCAGAGTGGGAAAAAATAGTGGAATGGGACAAGAAGCATTAAAAAGGCTGAACATTCAGAGCATTTGAAATAAAGTGGATGAATCAATCACTGTTTGCAAATGGTTGTAAATAAATATGGTATACTTGGGATTATGGAGACATGGATGCAGGGTGACCAGGGATGGAAACTGATTAATCAGATGTATTTGGTATTTAGGAAGGATAGATGAAAAGGAAAAGGCAGTGGAGTTGCACTACTGGTGAAAGGAAATATCAACACAAGATTGAGGAAAGATATCAGCTCAGGCAATATAGGATCTGTGTGGATTGAATTGAGAAATACCAAGGACTAAAAATCACTAGTGGGGGTGGTGGCAATGGCATCAAACAGGAAATTGGAAACACATGCAGTATAGGAACATCTATAATCATGGATGACTTTAATTTGCTTATAAATTCAGTGAATCAGCTTAGTCTCAATACTGCAGGAGAGGAATTCCTACAGTGTATACAAGATGGTTTACTGAACCAATGCGCTGAGGAACCACTAGAGAATAGGCCATCTTAGACTGGCTATTATGCAATGAGAAATGAATAATCGGTAATATAGTTGTGAGAGACTCCTTGGGAACGAGTGACCCAATATGATAGAATTCTCCATCAAAATGGAGACTCTCACCTGAGATGAGAGTCCTGAATCTTAAGGGAAACTACGAATGCATGAAGCATGAGTTGGTGACAGTGGATTGGGAAAGGTTATTGAATAGAATGACATTGGAAAGGCAATGGCAGACATTCAAAGAGTGAATGTGTGAACTACAAAAATTGCTTATTTCCATCTTGTGTAAGAATGCAGAGAGGAGAGTGGCCAAACTATGGCTTACAAGGGAAGATAGAGATTGTATGAGATGCAAGAAAGAGGCAAACAAATTGGCAAGAAAGAAACGACAGACCTGAGGATTGGGAACAGTTTAGAAGTTAGCAACGGAGGAGCATGGGATTGATTAAGAAGGGGGAAAATAAAATGACAGTAAGCTAGAGGGGAACATAAGAACTGACTGTAAAAGTTTCTATAGGTATAGAAAGAGAAAAAGGTTGGTGAAAACTAATGGAAGTCCCCAGAGACGGGGGACATTATAATGGAGAATAAAGAAATAGCTGACAAACTATCTTCATACTTTGCTTCTTCAGTCACAGAAGGAGGACATAATAACTTACCAGAAAAGATAGAGAACACTGGGTTAGTGACAGGAAGGAACTGAAGTAAAATTGTAATAGATGAATGGTGTTGGAGAAATTGATGGGATCGAAGGCTGAAAAATCCCCAGGGCCTCATAATCTGCCTTCCAGAGTACTTAAGCAAGTGGCCCTAGAAATAGAGGATGCAGGGCTGCATGATGGCTCAGTGGTTAGCACTGCTGCCTCACAGCCCCAGGGGACCTGGCTTCAATTTCAGCCTAGGGCGACTTTCTGTATGGAGCTTGCACATTCTCCCTGCATCTGTGTGGGTTTCCTCTGGGTGTTCCAGGTTCCTCCTGTAGTCCAAAAATGTGCGGGTTAGGTGGATTGGTCATGCTAAATTGCCCATAGTGTCCAGGAATGGGTAGGTAGGTGGGTTAGCTGTGGGAAATGTAAGGTTATAGGGATAGGGTTAGGGCGTTGAGTCTGGGTGGGAAGTTCTTCAGAGCATCTGTGTGGACTCAATGGGCCAAATGGCCTGCCTTCACACTATAGGGTTTCTGTGATCAGTAGTTATCTTTCAAGATTCTTCAGATTTCAGAACGGTACCTAATGTAACCCGACCATTTAAAAATGGCAGTAGAGAGAAAACCAGGAATTTTCGACTGGTGAGTCTGATGTTGGTAGTGGGGAAGGTGCTGGAGTCCATTATCAAGGATTTTATGGCAGATCACTGTTTTTTAAAAAAAAGTGTGAGAATCCGACACAGCATTGATTTACCAAAGGGAAATCGTGCTTGACTATTCTAAGGCTATAGCTTATCCTTATAAGGATATAACTAATAGAGTTGATTGGGGAAGCCAGTGAATGTGGTTTATTTGGTCTTTCAGAAGCCTTTCAACTAAGAACTACATAAGAGATTAATGGGTAAAATCAGAGCATGTGGGATTGAGAATGGTGTATTGAGATGGATAGAAAATTCGTTTGCAGACGGGAAACAAAGAGTAGGAATAAATGGGTCTTTTTCTGAATGGTAGGTAGTGACTACTGGGGTACCACAGGGATTGCTACTGAAACCCCAGCTGGTCACGATATATGCTATTGATTTGAGACAAGGGAACTCAATGTAATATCTCAAAATTTGCAGATGACATAAAGTAGAGTGGAAGGGTGAGCTGTGAGAAGGATGCAGAGATGTTGCAGTGTGATTTGGATAGGCAAATAAGTGGGCAAATGCATGGCAGATGCAGTATATAAGAGGTTATCTAGCAAAATTAAGAAAGCAGATTATTCTTTGGCTGCAAGTTGTTCAACAAGACCTGAGTGTCCTTATGCACCAGTCACTGAAAGTAAGGTCTTGCGCAGGTCTGGCTGGCCATAAAGAAGGCAAATTGTATGTTGGCTTTCATAGTGAGAGAAGTTAAATACAGGCAACGAGGATGTTTAGCTGCATATATACAGGGCATTGTTGAGGTCACACTTGAAATATTGTGTATAGTTTTGATCTCCTTCTCTGAGGAGGATTGTTCTTGCTACAGAGGGAGTGAATTGAATGTTTACCAAATTGATTCCTGTGATGGTGTATGAGGAGAGGTTGAGTCAGTTAGGATTGTATTCACTGGAGTTTAGAAGAACAAAAGGCAACTTCATAGAAGCCTATAAAATTCTATTAGAATTAGACAGGTTAGAAGCAGGAAGGATGTTCCCAATAGTGGGGGAGTCCAGAATCAGAGCTCATAGTTTAAAGGGGATAAAGGTAAGCCCTTTAGGACTGAGATGAGAAGACCTTTCTTCACCCAGTGACTGGTGAACCTATGGAATTAATTACCACAAAAAAGTGGTTGAGACCAAAACATTGTGTTTTCAAGGTGGTAGATATTCGCTCTTGTAGCTGAACGGATCAAGGGATATGGAGAGAGGGTGAGATTATGTTGTTGAGTTTGATGATCAGCCGTGATCATATTGAATGGCAGAGCAGACTTAAGGCATCAAATGGCTTACTCCAGCTCCAATCTTCTTTGTTTCTATCCTATTGAAGTCAGCTTTACTTAAATCTAGAAGTTTTTCTGTTTTATGTTTATCCTGTTCAAACAGAACTTAGCCACCTAACAACAGCCATAAAATGACTATTCTTACATCGTTAGGCTGTTAAGTAAATCTGACTCATTGTTCATTAAATCTGATATAGTCTGCCCCCTTGTTGGTTCTAGAGCGTAGTGTTACAGAAAACCGTTTTGAACACAGCGGAAATTCACAACATTTCTGATGTGGTCGTCTGTTTATGCCTGTATGTTGAAAACAGAAATGCTCTATATAACACCATTGTGCTTTTGCTAGCTAGTTTTCTAAATGTTGTATTTTTGATTTTTGTCACTTTATTGCTGCTGCCTGGGCCATGCAACTCCACATCTTGGATCTTTTTATACTTCTTAATTCTACCATAAAATTTCCACTACTTGCTTAGTTCTCATTTTGTCTTATCATTTGAAGTAATTTTATCCTTCATTTAGGAAGTGCTCAATGTGACTTTTTCCTTGACAGGCGAAGTTTGTGGAAAAGAACAATGATGCCTTACACATGTCCTTGGAATCATTGGTGTCGGAATCAAAGGATCCATTTGTTCGGAAACTTTTTGAAGGAACCAACAACAATAAGGACACAAAACAGAAGGCAGGAAAACTGAGCTTCATTAGCGTTGGAAATAAATTCAAGGTAGATTCATTTAGACAACTCTTACGTTGTATCTATAAATAAGAAACTTACAATATTTTCTTACAGAATTTAAAGAGCATTGACAGACAGCCTATTGAGTTAGTACTCTTTGTAATGCATTCTGATTTAGGCATTTCAATTGTAATATCATGAATACTCTGGCTTATTTTCTTCCAGGCTGTAATATGCAGTAATTTGGCCTTCTCTGGATCTGTTTTAATATCTCGCTCTTTCTATGCCATGGTATTTGTCTAAGTGAGAGCTTCCCCACAAAACTCAAGGGATTGTTAGTTTATAAGTAACGGGAACAATTCATCATTATTATACATTATAATGAGGATGAATTAAAGGATAACTAAACCTGTTTTAAAATCATTCTAACTTGCTCTTGACATTAGTCTCCTTAACACTTGCAGTATGTTATCCAGTTACTCGTGTATTTGTACCTAACAAACTTATTGATTTATTTTTTGTATTTGCCTTCAGGACCAGAATTTGATGAATCAGGTGCTCTACGTCCTTAATGAGCATGTTTCAAAAAACACATTTCAACGTTATTTTTCTTCATTCACAGCACGTGAGCATCTGTGGGCAAGCTGTTATTGTATGCCCCTAACGGCTCCTAACTTAGTAGCTTTCTAGATCAATTCAGAAGAAAGTTAAAATGGTCTGTCTTGCTGTGGGTTTGAAATCACATTTCTACCAGATGGCAGATTTCCTTCCCTGAAGCGTATTTGTGAACTATATGGATCTTTATGACAATCTAGCAGTTGATTACTCATCTAACTTTTTATTCTTGATTGATACTATTAGCTGAATTGAAATTCCTCAGCTTCCAAGGAAGGTACAAGATTACTGGTCCAGAAACTATCTTAGTGGTAGTGTCCCAGGTTCAAGTCCCACCTGCTCCAGACATCTCTGAACAGGTTAATTAGAAACTATTCAGAATAATCACCAAAGGTTTTCTTTCTGTTGTGGCCATTGATGTGGATTCCACTGGCCAAGCCAGAACTTATTGCCCATTCCAAATTGCCCAGAGGTTTTTTGAGTTACTGAGAGTCTGGAATCACACGCAGGCCAGACAAGGTAAGTAGAGAAGGCAACTGCTTTAAAGGACATTTGTGAACCAGATGGGCTTTTTCCAAAGTGCTCATCATTAGACTCTTAATTCCAGATTTTTATTGAATTCAAATTTCACCATCTGCCATGGCGAGATACAAACCTGCATCCCCAGAGCATTATCTTGGTCTCTGGATTAATAGTCTAGCAATAAGACTACCAGGCTATTGCCTTCTCTAATGACCTGTGTTTTACACTGAGTAATGGATCTTGGGTATTGTTATAATCCTAAAGTGGAGGCTTGAAGCTTCCCCATTCATGAGGACTATTGAATGGCCTGTTCTAGTTCCCGATCTGTGAGTGTGTTCCATTCTAAGCCGAGAACAGTTGCAGGATCTTGCAATACGTTAACATGCAAATTGCTCTGAATGCCATCGTTGCAACATGGGTAATGCCACTGATAATGGTGCTTTTACTTTAGGGCAGAAATGCTAATACATTTCTAGGCAGTGTTTGCATATTGCTTTGCAGTGAATTTTTTTTTGAATAAAGAAAGATTTGAACTTGCTGTATAAATCCATTTTCACAATCTCAATATGGCTTTAAAATAGTTTGGGACAATTAATTACTTTCGAAGTGTAATTACTGTTGTAATGTGGATGCCCATGGCAAGCCTCTATCAGCAACATAGTCATAGAGTAGTACAGCATGGAAACAGGCCCTTTAGCCCAAACTGGTTCATGGTGCCCACTCGGCTCGTTCCATTTGGTTCATATCCCTTTCAACCCTTCTCATCCAAGTGCCTATCGAAATGTTTTTTAAGTGTTGCCCTGAAAATGAAATGAGATGAAATGCAGTGAAAGAAATTATTGGATCCTCTATTTCTGGTGGTAATGGAGGTTTAATTGTCCAGCCAGGCCGGAAGAATTCCCTTACTTTCTTCTAAAAATAGATACATCCACCTAAGAAGACGGTGCTTCAGTTTAACAGCCATCCAAAAGTCAGCATGTCCAATTGTGCAGCATTTCTCCTTTTAGCGCTGCACTGAAGTTCCAGCCTAAATAATATGCTAAAGTTCCTGGAGTCAGATGCGAAATCCAAGTGAGAGTGTTATCAACTGAACCAAAGCAGGCATCTGTTATGAAGAAATGTGCAAAGTTAGAAATTAGCATCTATTGCACCTCTTTCTAGTTTAGGCAAAAGCTCAGCATTTAGCTTTGATTTCAGATGATTGGTATAAACAATTTCCTCATAGTTCAAGTTGGAGCCAAGTGTTTATCAGTCATCTCTTGACATTCATGTTATTGAATCTGACTGAAGGGACATGTGGGTCAATATAAACAAACTGGCTACTACACAGTCTTCAGGAATTTGGGCATTGGAAATTACTATTTGGTGAAAGTCAAGAAAAATTTTGCACACGACAGAGTAAAGTTGAAAGTCAGCATAATCCTACTGGACCATTGGGCTGCTGTCTCTCTTTAGAGAGAGAGATGACTGGTGTTGGTTTAACTTGAGGGTCACCACGCCTTGGGTGAACGGAGAAGGAGAGTCCTTCATGACAACCTCAGCCAGTGTGGGAATTGAACCCTTGCGGTTAGCATCACTCTGCATTGCAAACCAGCCATCTACTCAACTAAATTAACCAACCTCAAAAAGAGGTTACGAGTAATCCTGAGTAACTTACTGATTTTATGAACCTGCTGTTCCAAAGCAAATGCAAGAGCTTTTCGCTGTACTTAAGTACACATGACTATAATAAATCAAATCACAGTGGCTCAGTGATTAGCATTGCTGCCTCACAGCACCAGGGACCCGGGTTCAATTCTGCCCTTGGGCGACTCAGTGTGAAGTTTGCACGTTCTCTCCAGGTGCTCTGGTTTCCTCCCACAGTCCAAAGATGTGCAGGCTAGGTGGATTGGCCATGCTAAATTGCCCATAGTGTTCAGGGATGTGCAGATTAGGTGGGTTATGGGGAATGGGTCTGTGTGGGTGCTCTGAGGGTCGGTGTGGACTTGTTGGGCCAAAGGGCTGTTTCCACACTGTACGGATTCTATGATCTTCTATGATCCAATTTTAGTCCACCTGGCCTTAGAATCTGTAACAGTGGGTTGGATGGGGAGATGGAACTGTTGAATCCACAGTTGTTTTTGCCAAAGAGTAATGGCAAAGAACATTGTATTTAGTATAGATTTAGTTGTGCATCCTTTTTCAGATTTAGCATACCTTACAAGTGTAACAGAACAGCAGCAAGTGGTGATGGTGAAGGAGGGTGCCGAGAAGTGTAGTCCTAGCAGTTGTGCCAGGATCTCCAGCAGCAGTTGGCGGTGGTAAGGGAGGGAATGAACAGGGCAGCTGGAGCAATGAATATTCTTCCTTTGAGGATCAGACCCCTTATGGGGAGAAGGATCAGGCAGACAGGATTTCCTCAGCCAGATATAAACCACAGACTTAGTTGCATATAAAATGCATTTTTTTGTTTAGCCTTAATTTCCAGTCTCTCCTCGTGAAACTAGATAGTGTACTCCTCTTCGGCTTGACATTCAAGGAAACCCTTGAAAGACTTATCAGACTTGTCACAGTTCAGCTTGACAGTCAAACCAGAAAAATGCTTACCTTTCCAGAGAAAATTACAGCACTGCTGAAGATGAGAGAGGAAACTGTTAGTTCCTTGGGCTAGTGGGTTTTGGAGTAGATCTGGGCATGGTGGGTTACTAAAGGAGGTTTGTGCAAGGCAATGCACAGTTGACTGCTCCACCAGCAATTTGCTGAGGAAATGAGGGAATGCTGCAGAAGTGGTTAGGAAAGGATGTGGAAGGCAAGCTGCTTTACAGAAAATCACAGGGAGTTGGATCCCAGCCTGTAAGACTCCTTTTACAGCTTTGAGCAGAAACTTGTCTCATCACCTGTTCGCTACCCAGAATTCCATCTCTCTTTCGTAATGGGAACTGCCACCAGTTTCTTTGGCCAACGAGCTGTGCTGTCTCAGGTCTTTTCCTGTCTTTCTGAATTAATATAATGTTTAGCTCCTTTTTTGCCTACTAAAATGTAAGATCTCTCATTTCCCCACATTCTATTCCATCTGCAAAGTTTTTGTCCACCCACTTTACCTGTCTGTCTTCCTCTGTACATTGTTTGTATCATCCTCAGCACTTGACTTCCCACTTATTTATGTGTGATCCATGCCTGTCTATAGTATGTTTACTTCCCTCATCCATGTCATTAACATATACTGTAAATAATTGTGACCCCAGCACCAATCCCTATGCCACAAGTTGCCATCCAGAAAATGCCTCCTGCTAATATGCTACCCCCAACACCTTGGACTTCTCTTCTTGTGTAGTCTTTTTTGTGATACCTTATCAAATGCCTTTTGGAAATCCAATGCAATACAATTACTGGTTTCCCTTTATCTTGTTTGTTGCATCAGTGGACTGCATCATTACTATAAGGCCTAACATGCACTAATCCAGCACCAGCTGATTAGGGAGTCCAAACAGGCGGAGAAACACATACTTCCTACCAGTGTCAAGTGTTGATAGCAGTTCATGATCAAGCAGAACACCAAGCAACAGAAGACAGCAACTTTGTTAGAAAGCCTTGGCAGAGCAGTGTTATTGACCTGGAATGGCTGTTGATAATGATAATAACAGTCAAAAGTGAGAAAAGTGTACTTCGGTCAAAACCGAGAAGCACTGTCACCCAACATGGAAACTCTGGTTGTCAAGAGACCTATAGAGATCCTTGAAATGGACTTTTGTGGTCCTTGACCTCCACTGTAATGGGACTGAGCATGTTCTTGCATTCATGGATGTCTTCACCAAGTTCCTTCAGGTTTGTCCACTTTGACCAAAAGGCTTCATCTAAAGCCAGAGTGTTAGTGCATGATTAGTTTATCCATTTTGGTGCTCCATGTTGGATTCACAGTGATCAAGGACATAACTTTGAGAGCAAGAACGTACAGGAGCTTTGCAAGGTCTATGGCATCACCCAGAGCTGCACCGTGATGCGTCAGAGGGTAATTTGATAGTACAACTGACTCAACCATGCTGTGCATGACCATCTGCTCATCTTGCCTCATGACTGTAAATGAAAGTGACCTTTGTACTTTCTGTAGCTGGTTTTTGCTCATAATAGCACCCTGCAGTAATCCACAGATTATTCTCCACTTGATCTCTATTTTGGATAATGGATAAAATGCTTGAGTTCACCACTGTTTCTGATGGGGATGGCCAGCTGAGCAAGTGAATAGCGAGCATTACAGCAGGCATTTTAGATGGCATCCAAAAGGATAGAGTGAAGCACTGAAGAAAAAACATTGATTACATGGCTGACAGAATTGAACTTCCAATTGGCACAAGGTTATGCCTCCGAAAATGAAAATCAGGGCTTAGAATAAGTCAAGTGGCTGGACACAGGTGGCCACAAAAATGTTGATGCACCAAAAGCGGAAAGACCACCTTAGAAAATGGTTCAGAGAAAGGAGTTGCTTGTGGCCAGAAATCTAGTGGATAATGTGGAAGTGAGCAGCTCACACAGTGGTATATCAGATTCTGAAGTATCAGTGTGTGGTGGCTCGAGTAAAGTAGAGACAGATAATGATGAGGAATTCTTAACTGACCTGTGTTGTGAATCCAGTGGATGCATCCGGTGCCAGAAGGTCTAATCAGGACTTGAAGAACAGTACAGGAATGATCTGCTGGGAGGTGGAAACAGACAAGTCATCAATTATGTGACTCCTGGAGACCTGACCAACCTCGAGCCCAGCATATGTAGTCCACCGCAGAGACTGGATGGTATCATTACAGATAGGAGGCAAAGAAGGTCTTGAGCAAATGTTGTATGTCATCCAACCCACACCATTTGCTAGATCGGAGATGCATGAAGAGAATGCAGTCATTAATGTGGACCAAAATGTTCTGACCATCATATGCTATTGAATCTGTTAACCATGCAACTGCTTTGCAAACAGACAGTGTGTTATGTATAGTTGCCAGAGTGGAAGGCCTCAAGCAGGAAAGTAAGTAATGGATCCCTAGCCATAGATGACAATAGTGGGGGAAGGATGCTGAGCAGGGCAGCCAGAATAGTGGTGCCAGGACTTCCCAGGTGGTGATGGTAAGGTGGGATGCTGAACACAGCAGCTGGCACAGTCAAAAAGACTCCTTTGGAGGAAAGGGTGTCTTTGGAGGCAAGCTCTTGAGTGGGAGAAGAATCAGACAGACAAAGAATTTCCTTAACCAAATGTAAACCATAGACTTAGTTCTGTGTAAATACTGTCTTCCTTCTTTAACCTTACTTTCTCAAGTCTTCTAATCACCTGATGCCAGTAGAATAAATAATCCCTGCTTTTTGATCTTTGGGCCATCTGCGTGTTCAAATTTCATGTTACACTTGGTCTTATCCGTCTATGAAGTTTGTAGATTCGAGTAACTTGCTCTATTAACTGCTTTCTTGTCAATATTTCTACTCTTGAAACCTTTTCAATTGAGGTTTATAAAATGTCTTTCAGAAACTTACTTTTTGGTTCTCCCATAACCTGAATTTGTGGAACACATCAGAACCATGTGTAAACCTGTTCCAGACATGTAATGGAATGTACATCGCTGAATACAAAGGCAGAAAATGTATAATGGAAAAAAAAAAGTCTAATTGTACTTTAAAGAACAAAAATTCCAATCTCCTCCTACTTCAAAGTAAAATTTTTTTTTGTCCTTTTTTTTTAAACATTCTTCGAGGGTAATTAACTTGAACATTTCAGACTCGAGGGAAGAGAAAATGTGAATTGATGTTGACAGCTCTAAGGTGATATTTATAATCCTCGCATTCTTTCTATTGTCCATTTGCCACAAGTTCTGATGCTTACTTCTAATCTCCTCTCTTCTGTTTGTACTAAAGCCAACTTTCAGGTCTTGTCTTTTCCATCTTTTTCCTGCTCCTTTTCCTCAGGCAGTGACTTGATGTGAGATGCTCCAGTTCAGGATGAGTAGAGAAAACTATAGGGAGGTTGGGAAAGAAAAAATAGACAACAGCCAGGGATGGCAGGTAAATCTTTACTCAAGCAACCACACCAGTAATGCACCTGCTTAAAGCAATGAACATCACTCCTATTGGCTGGTTGCTTAAAATTGCATTTGAACATTTTTAGCACGAGATTGATCCTGAAACGACATGTCAGGAATCTTGATAGGTAGCAATTTCTAATGACAGTTTGTTATTTAATTGCCATATGTCTAATGGTTGCCCTCAAATCTTGTATATCCATTCTACTTACTATGAATGTTTCCAGGTTCCTTTTGGGTACTTTTACAAAATATGACCTGGTCATTGACCACTGCTAAATTTACACTCCTTCAATTCTGATGACACTTCCGCCTTGCAAAATTGCTAGCTAATCACAGTGCAGCTTGTTGGACCATCAGTAATAAAATTGTATTGATTCTATGAACCTAACCTGATGCGTACAGCAGGGATCCCATGTAGCAAATGGGCATTTTTAAAATAATTCCATTTCATGCCTTTGTTCCCAGTTCCCAAATAGGAACTTTCATCTTCCCTTGAAAAAGGATGGGAGAGTGTTCTCCCAAATGAAACTGCACCATTAACACTGTTTAATTCAGTATTTGACTTGTTAGTAATCACAGCTAAACACTGTGTAGACTGGCATGTTCACTTTCAATGCAGGCATCATTTTATTTAAGTTGACTGCAACAAAGCCACGTTACCTGGGTCAGAAAGTTGTGAAATGAAATTTTTAAATTTTCACTCTTGATTTCCATCTTGACCCTATCATATGTCATTGACCAATGTAAGATGGGTTCCTTAAGCCTTAGCGGTTATTCAAGTGGCCATTTTTTAATGTACCTTGGATAGTGATGGCCAGTGAACTGTTGGGATCATCATACCCACAACTAATACTGCCTGACTGATTCTTGAAATGTACACCTTTTCAACAGGAGCCACTGAGCAGAAAGAAACCTAAATGATGTCCTACCTCTGGCCACACGTCCAGGCAAATTGAGGTGATTGCAGTGCTCCCATTGCGCAGTATGAGCAACAAGATTGAGTATGGGAGCTTTTTGCTCTGCATGGCTCATTACAATACGATGCTATGTATTAGCCAACAGACTGAGGAAGGGACTAGCTCCTGTTATACCTCGGTTTTGTCATTTCCCTCTCTTTATTTTTGGAATGATAGGGAGTGGGGTGGTGAGGGTGAGGAATTCAATGCATTGTTTTGGCCAACTTGGCAATGTCAACCAAGTTAGGTGCTGGATTTGAAAAGGGTTAAGGTTGGGCCGTGCTATGCATGGTTTCTGTTAGGAATCACTTCATTCATGCTTCATGACTTGGAGGATGTTTGGCTGCATGCTCCACTATTACCTCCTCCGTATCAACATGTATCAATATTTTTAAAGTTGCATTGCAATACGCTTTTTTGCTGCTCCTATAATTTTATGAATAGTTGAGGTTTTTCTCACTAATGTACAGCTCATTAAATGCATGCAGTAAATTGTTTCCACGTTATACAATTTTTTGCTAGTCTGTTATACACAACAAATAATGCTATGCTCAGTTAGCTACAAAACCTTTCATTTATGCCAAGGTTCCATTGATGTACTTGCATAAGTTCAACCACAAAATGCTGATATTAAAGTTCTTGCTTTCTTTTTCTCCATTCCACCCCCTCAGACTCAGTTGAATCTGTTGCTTGACAAGTTACGGAGCACAGTGAGTACTAATTACTATAGTTAACTGTTACAGTTTTGTAATTTGTGAACAAGGTACTATGTCTGTAAATTGAGAGAGCAGTGCTTTACTATGAATTTCCAGAGGTAAAGATAAAATCAGGTGGCATTTATGTAGCCATTCATGATCTCAAGACATTCTAAAGTGCTTCACAGCCAATGAAGTGCTTTTGAAATGTAATAACTGTTATAAAGCAGGTAATGCAACAGTCAATTTGCACAAGGGCACCTAAGCAGGATGTGATAACAAGCCAAACAATTTGGTGGAACTGATTAAGTATGATTATCCAGCGAACTCCTTTTCTGCATTTTGAGAGTGCCAAAGGGATCTTTTGTATTCACCTGAGGATGCAAATAGAGCTTTAGCTGAATATTTCGTGCAACAGACAATATCATTGACAGTGGAGTGCATCCTCAATATAACACTAGATTTTGTTCTAGTCTCTGCGTAGAATTTAAACCCACAAGCTTCTGATTCAGCAGTCGAGTGTTCAGTCACTAGTCACGGTTTATTGTTGTGGCAATCAAGGACTATGGAAGCTAGCATCTCATTTACACACAAAATACATTTAATTGTTTTACTAGCATGGAGTTCTCTCATGCTCCTCTTTGGTCAAGACAATGATCAGGTAACCTCTTCTTAGGCCCTTTGCTCCATAAATAACCAGGAGAAAGTTCATTTAAGCTGCATAGAGTGATTCTCAAGTTGCTTTACTCCATCTCCGTATTGGAAAACACCAATTCTTTGACATTGACCAACTCTGTTCTGATTGAGTTGGGATTAAAAGTGAATCCGTGCATACTAAGCACTCTGTACTATGTATTAATCGGCAAGTATGCTATGGCAGCAATACAGTGGGGTGAGAACAATACTTCAGTTCTGGAACATTCATTATCCTGAAACTGTTAATGGGACTCATGAAGTGTTGAGTGAGAAATACTTTGACTAGACTGAATTTTGATACAAAATGTGTCACTCAATTGCCTGTTTTCTGTTAGGGATCCAGCTTTATTCGATGCATCAAACCTAATCTCAAAATGACAAGTCATCAATTTGAAGGGGCGCAAATTTTGTCCCAACTTCAGTGTTCAGGTGAGATATCTTTTTCTGTTAATATATACTCGGCATGCCTTTTAGCCTGTATTGTATGATATCAATAATGAATTAAGTACTTGGTTCGTCTTGCTGCTGGCCAACCAAACAAGCTCTTGCACATTACATTCTTACCCATTTGACCGCAAACACTTTTCCAGCTTTTGGTATGTTCCTAATTATCCAGGAAGGCTTCCATTTTCTTCTTCAATCCATTCCTATTCTACTCCCTAATCATCACATTTTCTCTTCTCACATGACTACCTTTGGAATATGCCAGGTTCCATCCTTTCTCCTATTCTTCATAATTTAGTTGTATTGCTGTGATATGATCACACACACCTCTTGGGGAACAGATTTTAAGCTACTATCCATCATTATCCACCTCAACAGGATATGATTATAGGCATTGTGGGGCAATGTGAATCCACTATACTTGGCTTCTGGTAAAAACAAATCTGAAAAGTGTTCAAATAAATAAACGTATCATTGTTTCTCCAATATATGTGTGCAACTGATATGTTTATCTAAGGGAAGAATGTGAAGTATGCATCAAAGAAGCTTCTGCTCTAATTCCAAACCAATCCTATTAGGTGGCATGGTGGCACAGTGGTTAGCACTACTGCCTCAATGCCAGGAAGCTGTGTTCAATTCCAATCTTGGGTGACAATTTTCACTGCTCTCTAACTTTCACGCTGTCCATTTCCGACACTTCCCTTCCTTTCCTGGAACTCTCGGTCTCTATTTCGGGGAATAAACTGTCCACTGCCATCCATTACAAAGCCAGCCTTAGCTACCTTCATTACAACTCTTCCCACCCCATATGCTACAAGGATTCCATCCCATTGTCCCAGTACCTTTGCCTACGTCGTATCTGTTTGGAAGATGCCACCTTCCAAAACGGTGCTGCTGATATGGCTTCCTTTTTCCATCACCATGGTTTCCCGCCAACTATGGTTGACAGGGCCCTCAATTGCCTCTGACCTATTGCCCAAGCTTCCGCCCTTATCCCTTCACATCACTCTCATCAGCTATATTGGGTTCCCCCTTGGTCTCACTTTTCATTCTTCCACCCTCCGCTTCCAAAGGATCATTCTCTGCTATTTCAGAAAACTCCAGCAGAATGCCACCAGCAAAACACATCTTCCCCTCACTCCCACTGTGTGGCTTTCATAGGGATCGTTCCCTCTGGGACACCGTAGTCCATTTCTTGGTTACCAACACCAACCCCTGCCTTTCCATGGCATCTTCCCATCTAAGCTCAGAAGGTGCAATACCTGCCCCTTCACCACTTCTTTGCTCACCATCCAAAGGCCTAAACAGTCTTTCCAGATGAAACATCATTTCACCTGTACCACCTCCAATCTTATGTATTGTTCCTTCCAGTCTGGCAGTTAGACACTGTTGTTCTGCCATTCTCGCGTTCCGATCACTTAATCTGAATTATTAACACCCTTTCGCTCACCCCCACTTCCCACTATTGCATAAATGCTGTCCTCTCCATATTTAACTTCAGCTGTGATGAAGAATCATCTAGACTCAACGTTAGCTTGCTTTCTGTCCATGGATGCTACCTGACCCGCTGTGATCACCAGCATTTTTTTCAGTTGGGTGACTGTGTCTGTCTGTCTCTGTGTGGACTTTCCATTTTATCCCCATGTTTGCATGGGTTTCTGCCGGGTGCTCCAGTTTCCTTCCACAGTCCAGAGATGTGCGGGCCAGGTGGATTGACCGTGCTAAATTGCCCTATAGTATCCAAGGGATGTACAGGTTAGGTGGATTAGCCCTGGTCAGTGTGGGGCTAGGGTGGGAGGGTGTGGATCTGGGTCTGGGTAGGATGCTGTTTGGAGGGTTGGTGCATATTCGATGGGCCGAATGGCGCCTCTCTGCACTGTAGGGATTTTATGTCTATGACCCGTGGATATTACCCCTTTTTGACTCTTCCATTGACCCAGAGTCTTTAGCTATCAGCTGTAGTTTCTTATTGATCATTAAGACATCAGTGACCCACAATTTCCTTCAACTTTATCTTGGCAAAACAAAGTCCATTTTTGGTTCTAGCTGGCACCTATTTGCTTCTGTCTTTGACAGCACTAAATTATGCTTGTCATCCAAGGTAGTAAACATCCTCTGCCCATATCATCTCCACAACGAAGACAGACCTGCTTATAGTATTGTCTATCTTTGCCACCAAAGCCTTAGTCCCCCACGTAGTGTGGCTTTTCTCACTCTTTGGCCTGTCTTACTACCTTCTCTGCAAACACGAGCTTATCAAAAATGTTACAGTCCATGACCCCATGTCTCTCAACCCTATCACTCCATCTTCTACAAACTCTCACATACACGCCACAAATTTAATTCCAGAGCCCTTACCCTCATCCTGCCCTACCAAGGCAATTTTCTTAAGCCTTTCAGCCTCAATTGCATTTTGAGAGGCAAAAATGTTCAGTCATCCATTTTCTTAATTGTTTCATAACACAACTTAAGAAATTTACCCTGGTTGTTGGGTTCATTGTATGATTTGGCACTTTTGACATTCCGAATTACAAGATAAAATGAGCCATGGAACAATCCTTTGCATCAAGGTGGACTTGCACATTTTCCTACATTGAATAAAAGGTTAGAGATGTGAGTTGTTGTTGTTTTTATTTCTGTGTAGGTATGGTGTCTGTGCTAGATCTCATGCAGGGCGGATTTCCATCACGGGCTCCATTCCACGAACTTTACAACATGTACAAGAAGTACATGCCTCCAAAGCTCTGCAGGTTGGACCCCAGGCTCTTCTGCAAGGTATTGACTAGACTAAAGCTTTGAAGTTCTTTCAGTAAGTTTCATAAGTGAACATGCTGGTTTAGCTGGAGATCTCGTTGTATGGTTAGAGATTAACGATTCTGGCGGCATTAATTCAGCTAAATAAATTACCTTGTCTCAGTTGTGCAGTTGATGAGGGTGTGACAGTGCCCTTATTGGATTCCGAGTTGAGAGGTTGGTGGGGCGTGGTGGGGAAGCAAATCAATCAACTCCAGATGCTGCTCACTTGAATGTGCGATTGTGTGAATGTTTAGCAGGGCAGGTTGGGCTGGGCTCCATTCCGACACATTTGACTTTTTTTGCCTAGGCGCATGCAGTGGTGGCAAAGGTACTTCAGGTAGGTATAATAACTTGTATGATCTTTTTCCCCTGTGGTGTATACACAGTCGCACAATTCTGTATGTCTTAGTGGTTTATATGCAAACAAGCATGACTGAGACAATGGGCTGATGTTCATGTCCCTCTCCAGGAACTTGAGCAGATAATCTAGAATAATATTTAAACAGTTCAGCGGAGCACTGTTGGAGGTGTTGTCTTTCAGAAGATATGTTTAAATCGAGGCTTTCTCTGCCTTTTTAGATGGATGTAAAGAATCCTGTGGTACAATTTGCAAGGAGCAAGAGCATTTCCCAGTTTCTTAGCTAACATTTTATCCCTTGACCAATATTTCAAAATTTGACTAATTGCTCGTTTACCTCATTGCTGCTTATGGCTCACTGTGGGCACTTGGCTGCTGCAGTTGCCTATACAAGAGATTACGCTTCAAAAGCAATTCATTTTTGTAAAGTGCTTTGGGAGTTTTTGAGGACAGGAATAAAATCCTGTGAAAATTTAGATATTAATGTGAATACATTCTACACAGATTAGACTTTATCTAACATCCTGGATCTTTTCATTTGAAAAGCCAAGTTGAAATAGGGAAAACACCAGTCAGAAAATAAGAACAAAGCAACCTCAAGGAGAAATTGAGATAACAAGGTGTAGAGCTGGATGAACACAGCAGGCCAAGCAGCATCAGAGGAGCAGGAAAGCTGACGTTTCAGGCCTAGACCCTCCTTCAGAAATGGGGTCGGGGGGAGGGGGATTCTGAAATAGAGAGGGAGAGAGGGGGAGGCGGATGGAAGATGGATAAAGGAGCAGATAGGTGGAGAGGAGACGGACAGTTCAAGGAGGTGTGGGGATGGAGCCAGTAAAGGTGAGTGTAGGTGGGGGTTGGTCAGTCCA